GGGAATGGAGATTTTACAGTATCCTTCCCCTGCTATGCCCACCAAGCCACACCCACCAAGCTATGCCACGCCCATCAAGCCACACCCACAGAACCGGTAGTAAAAAAAATGAATTCCACCACGGCTTTGAGGGTCGTGTGAACAACATGCCTCATATCATTGATTCCTACTGAAGTCACATAAGTATTCATCCATGTTGCTAGACCATGATTAGCCATGGTGTGTCAAAAAAGCCAAAGTGACTGAGTTTACACATAACTCTAAATTGTAAACCTTGGCTTACCAATCATAATGTCATGTTCACACATTAAATTGAGCCCCAAAGAAATCACATTCTGCCATTCCAACATTTTGAAAGGGCATGTATTAAAGAGACTGTTGAATTGTGCAGTACTAAATTGGATCACTAGGTGTTGCTATTTACAATTATTTTTCTTACATGCAGCAGTTCTATTGTCTCTGAATCCAAGTAGCCAAGCAGAAGGAATAAGCACTTATAGACTAAAGATGAAAGTAACCCCCAAAAATACATTTTCTGTAATGATAATAAAACATCTTTGTTCCTTGGATTTTATATCCCACCTCTCTATACCTATTTAAACGGAATATAAAATGCTTAGTGCCTGTGCACAACAATTGCAAAGGAACTTAATTGCAAAATAAAATCAGCCTCATAAAACACAACCACTGAGAATAAAAGAGCCCATTAAATGACTGCAAAAAATAAAACTCTCTTGGGCCTGCTTAAAAGAGGGCAAGGAAACAAATGATGATGACATCCCACTGTTTGTATATTGCACCTTCTGATCTCAGTCTGTTGGCAGCATGCTCAAGTAACTTAAATTTTCAGGCAGTCTGCCAGGACAGCTCTTCATGAAAGCTGCTGTAGTAATCTATTCTGTAATTAAGTAGAGTGTCAAAAACAAAGGCTTGATCCAATTCCTCCTTCAAAGGGCATAATTCACTAATGAGACAAAAAAGAGAATATGTATTCCTGCCCTTCCTGTGTGACCTACCTATCCATTTGCACATCCGTGTTTCAAACTTGTAGGTTTAGGGAAGTTGAATCCTTCTTCAAAGTTTGAGGAACAGATATATGGGTGCCCCATGAGCTCTTAAATTGGTGAGTTTCGAGCTAAATTGGTCAGGTTGGCACTCTATTTATCCTTCAGTGTGTTTCATTGAACCCAGTTCTTCAGTGCGCCAAGAGAAAATCCAGTTCCACGAGGTCAACTGAGTGCAATTGTATCAGCAAAAACAATATATTTCAGAGATATAGGACATTTCCAGGCAAGTAGTTTTTCTGATCTACCAATCCTTCTGAACCCACTTTAAAATGCACCTACTGAATGAGATGGCTTCAAGCTATTTTCAGACCTATACAGAATATTAGGTAGTATAGGGCAGTACAGAGTTCACAGAGAATCTCCCATCAATTACTGCTTGCTATTGTCCAATAGCTGAGCAGAAAGAACAGTCAGCCAATTAGAGGTCACTTGACAGCCAATCACTGACTGCCTACATCCTCTCTCCCTCTTCAGATCCATGCCGTTCAAAAAGTCTGTGTTTGCCATGGTGGCAATCCTTGTGGCCTTCACCATTCCCAATGCCGATGTGATAATAAGTCTGCATTTGGAGTTCTTCCAATCATAACAGCATGGTGCTAGGATCTCAGATCTTTATGAGCCTTGCTGACGCATTGGTCAGAATGCAGTATTGCAGGCAAACTCTGCCCAGAGCCTCCTGATGAGACTCAAGGTTGATTCAGCTTTCCATCCTTTTGAGGTTGATAAAACGAGGACCCAGGTTGTTGGGAGCAATATGCTGACTCTGTAAATTGCTTAGAGAGGGCTGTAAAAGCACTATGTGGTGATACATAAAATCTAAGTGCTATTGCTATGAGAAGATGGAAAGCTGGAAGAGCCAAGAATATCCCTCCAATAGAGCTGAAACAGCAACACTATCTTTTTCTGAAGTTGAGTTTGTTGTCTTGAAACAGCAATTTTGCATCCGTGGTGATATTACTGACGTAGATACAGAAGTGGACTTTCTTCTTATGTTAACTTTCTTCTGTGAATGCTAAACAGTGGCCAGACCTCAGTATATGTACATGCCATTTTTTGCATATTCAGAGCTAATTTATACACCTACAAAATTTGAATATGCTTTTTACACATTCAGAAAATATTTTAACTCCCCCCCCCTTTTTTCTCTCTTTTTTTTTGTTGGTGCTCATATACCAGTGATTGGATTCAGCTAGTTCACACCACTTCGGGAGAACCGGTTGTTAACTTTCTGAGCAGTTTGGTGAACTAGTTGTTGGAAGAAATTATTAGGGCAGAGAACCGGTTGTTAAATTATTTGAATCCCACCACTGCTCTACACAAGGATCAAATATTAGACCAATTTTCGAGCTTGTATAAAGGACTTTCTATCACATGCAGAAATATTATAGCTGAAGAGGTGAACTCACCTTAGATTCCCACTCAGTTATAGGGGCATTAAGTTGTTTGGCATTTAAGCCACAAGCAATATATGGTTTGGGATATTTTTCTGACCAGCCTTCTCTGGTGCAATTACGATACATAAACCCTGTATTGCAACAAGAAGAACAGGGGAAAAAACCCGATAAATTACAGTAAGCAGTGGACTATAAATAAGAGGAAAGTGTAGTTTTCAATATACAATCTAAATTATTTGATTTTATTGTTAAATTAAAGCAAATATTGATTATAATGCGATAAAAAGGTCTAACATTACTTCCCATTTCCTTTGCTAAGGAAATTATTTTCTTAAAAATAATCTATTTTATTTTATTTTATTTTAAATAGGAATCCAGAGCTAAAACAAAGATACACACAAGACCACACAGAAGGTTTACAGCTGTGCAGTGGCCTAGACAACTACCAAGAGTCACTTTGAGTCTTGTAGGAAATAAACAAGCAAGCAAGCAAGCAAATCCTTGGACCTGTTACTGTTTTGCTTTTTTAATGCAACTCTCAGAGCGCAACCTACAGTGTTTTTGTGCCCAAAATGAGCAACTATGGTGTCCTGGGCTTTGGGGATGAAAAAATATTCTTTATATAAGAACAGAAGTTGGTCCAATACAGTTTGAAAAGTAGGCTATGTCAATTCTGAAGTGAGCCTGGCTGAAGCCATCTTGCCCTGCCTCACAGTTGCCATGAAGTCTGAGAAAGAAGGGGAGGGGGGAAGTAGATAGCCCAGCTTGCAGTCAAAATAAAAAGTTTTCCTGTGGGAACAAAGGTCATCGTAACAGGTGCCTTGTGAAGGAGGAGAGGAGCTGGCCAGCCATATTTATTGGACAATGTGACTGATGACACAAGGGAGGGGGGTATTATTCTTTTAATTAGGTGAAAACCATGGGAACTTTCAGAGTTGGTTTTCACCGGCTGTGCTGATATGATGTATCCAATAAACATATCCTTTAGGGAATCTACTTGCCTTGGAGTTATGCTTTCAATGGGTGCGTTACTCAGAATGCTGACAGCCTAACTCCTTCAGTTCCAAAAATCTAAAGTAATTCCCCAAACCTTTGAAAATGTGTGTGACCATTAAATCATGGTTTTCATGTTACCTGTTTGTCCAGTGACTATTTGAAAGGCTTGGGGACAGGGTGCACTAACAGTTTGTCCAATGGAAGTAGACAGCCAACAGGTAAGATTATCCCACATGCCAAGGCATCTGCCTAAGGTACAAGAACACAAACACATCAAAATAGTAAATAAATCCCACAGAGAGGGGGAAGGAAATCGCAACACAATCCAGATGCTGCACTTGCATCAACCAGTGTGGGGAAAATCAACTTCTAGCACTAATGATGTTACCTAGTTGGGTAATGAAATGCCTGCAAGAAATCAGCCAAGGTCAAAGAGCATCAAGGGCCCACCGTTTCGGCCCTGAGTTACAGATATTCTCCTTTATTGATAAACCAGTCTCTGTGAAGCAGAGTAGAAGTGAGCAATAGCCTCACACCATGTTCTTTAGCCTTCTTCTTTCTGATGTCATAAGTATTTTAGAGCTTATAAAAATATATTAAAGAGTTCCTCCTATTTACTCTGTGTCTCACAATGCACTTGCTGTAATTTCAATCATTTTTATATGATCAATCATTTTTATATGATCGTAATTTTATATATAAATCAAACAACACAGGTTTTGGCAGACTATCAGCCTCCATTAACTAATGCCAGTAATCACAAATCATGCCATCCCAGGAGCCTTTATTAATGGACTGCTGAGTGTGCTAAGAAGAAAGGGAGAGTTGAATTGGTCCTCTTATCTTCTACTAAAGATCTACCTTTACTTAGGTGTTCAGAGCTGTGTGAGATTAGCAAGGGAGGGCAAGGAGCAAACATATACTCTAAAAGTAGACATGAGTGGGACGGATATTTCTGAATTCAAGGTACTGATTAATAAGGCATGCAAGGCCATTATTTTGTTTAGACAAGGGCTGAGTAGGTCAATGAAACCTAATTAATTAAAACCAGGAAGAAGTGCATTCATATTAGTCTTCAATCAACCATTGTTCCAGAAATCTCTTTCCCAGAAGGCAGCTCTATTGCTAATCCTCCTGAATATTTAAGTCTACTTCATCATATCATGGGACATAAATCCACCAAACAGATCATTCTTTTTACACAAGGTTTTATTATATTCTAACTCTTTTGGTACTGTTGCTCTCTTTAGGGAGCTGGGCAGTGTGCTTTCCATCATTCAGAAGAAATATAAAAAATAGTAAAGAGGTCATAATATTTAAATCTTTATTTTCTAGTGTCTAATATAGTTACTGTGATAGTTCAAAATTGTGGCATCAGAGGAAGGTTTTAGAAATTTGAGGCAAGTTAGAATAGAGATTTTGACAAACTATTCCCAATATTGATTTTTGAAAGTTAATCTCAACTCTTCTTCTTCAATGGAATTGGAATTCTTTCATTTTCTTTCATTCCTCACATCCTTGCTCCTATAGGACATCAGAAATTTAGGCTAGATCTATCAACACACCATGGTTTTCTGGATTCACAGGACATGCTGAACCATAAACAAATCATAAATTAGCTGAACCATAGTTTACCCAAGTTACACAAGCCTATCCTTAGCACTAATCCCTAGTCTGAATAGGCAGCTGCACTAGTTCTGAAAGCGTCTTTTGCCTCTTTATATCTATAAATGTAACTAGAAACAAAGGCAATAGATAGATAGATAGATAGATAGATAGATAGATAGATAGATAGATAGATAGATAGATAGATAGATAGATANTAGATAGATAGATAGATAGATAGATAGATAGATAGATAGATAGATAGATAGATACATACATACATACATACATACATACATACATACATACAGTGGTGAAATCTAAAAATGTTCCCTACTGGTTATGTGGACGTGGCTTGCGACATGGCTTGGTGATCATGTGACTGGGTGGGCGTGGCTTGGTGGTGATGTGACCGGGTGAGCTCAAAAACCAACTTTCAAACTTCACACACATAAACAACACAAAAATCACACATCTGACTCATACACAATACAAAAGCACACAAAATGGTCCCTGCAACAACAAGCAGGAACCTCACAGAGCCACAAAGAGCTCAAAAACCAATTATCACACTTTACACAAAATTAACACAAAAGCTACACAACTGACTCTGACACAACTGACTTACACACAATGCAGAAGCAGTTGGATTTCACACAAAATGGCCCCTGCAACAAGCCTCACCGAGTCACGGTGAGTGAGAGAGAGAGAGAAGGAGGGAGGGAGGGAGGGAGGGAGGGGGAGAGAGAGAGAGAGAGAGAGAGAGAGAGAGAGAGAGAGATTTACATACATATATATGAAAGGCAGAGGCAGAAGCAGAGATATACAGAGAGATAAATTAACAGTTTAACTTTCCAGCTTCTCTACAGGATATTCTTCCCTGATCAGTATAGCTACAGAACTAATTACAAATTAGTGTTTGGTTCCCCCTTAATTAATCTTTTATTCCTTATATGGGATTATTCTGATCTTTCCTTCTTCCTTTCTTATAATTCTCCACTTCCAGAGTACTTTATAAAAATAAAAAATGGGTAAAGAGAAAGAGAAGAACTATGGATTAAGTGTGTTGATGAATATTAAAACAATACCAAACAATACCAAAATAATGTCAGCAGATAAAGTGAACTAGTATAAATAAACAGAGAAAAGGTTATGTAGTAAAGAGATGATGACTATAGCTATAAAATAAGAAGATTTTGATTCTTGGAAGAAAATCTAGACAATACACAGACACACAGATGAAGCTGTACCTAGGCAAGATTTTAATGTTTAGAGATGTTATGCTGATAACTAAGATACATATTATCAAAGCCAGGGATTTTCAATTGTAAATGAAACTGGACTAGAGGACTCAAAATATGGAAATACTCTCGAGAGCTTTGAATTGCCAAAAGTAAAATTTTATTGGATACACCATTTTGGTATTGAAGAATCAAAACCAGCTCTGGTTTTCCCATGCAAATACTTGCTTAGTTAAACAATAGCTTCCTTCCCCCCACCCCACCCCACCTCAGGATGTTCACACTGTCCAGTTATGAGACATCCTTTTGTTATGGGAACCATTCACCTCCTCCTCAAGCATGTGCAGTGGTGACCTTGATCTGTGCACCAAATCTCAGCATTCTATTCCTTCCCTCCCTCCAGTTCATTGGCAAGTTGAATAACAATAAGATTGGAAAGAAGCAAAGCAGTTCAATCTTGACAATGAGTTTACAAGAATACTAAGAGACAATTTTTAAAACTGTCCCAGTGAGTCCCAAAAAGCAACAGAATTCCTGGACACAACAAGATGTTTACAAGACATGGTAACTGAATATACAGCTGTTCTGCAATTTTAGGTAATCCAAATTTCTCTTGCTAAATTTCAAATAGTTTAAGCTTCTGTTTCTCAATCTAAACAAGTGTAGGATGTATGGATTTCAATCCCCATGGCTAGCTGGGGAATTCTGGGAGATGGTCCAAATATCTTGAAGTTGCTGAGGCTGAAAGACTGCTTTAAAGCACTGATAAATAACCTTGTCTGTCCATTAAATTTATTTGCAATTTTCAAACGTATTCCAGATTCATATTATTTAAGTGAATAACTTATTTTCTTGGATCTCATTCAGCTGTCACACAATCCTACCCCAAACTGATCTCTGGTTATTTTATCAGCATAATTTACTGTGTACCTATTACCACCTTTTGAATTCTTATTTTAATACAAGTCCACAATGATCTAGATCAGAGGTCAAGATCAGGGCTGTCAAACTCCTGGTCTGTGGGCCGGATGTATCACTTGCCTAGTTTAGCGAAGTGGGGGGGGGGAAGGGAAGTCCCGATACATCATGTGACGCTGCTGTGACGACATGAGTTTGGCTGATTGAGGAATTCTGGGAATTAAAGTTCACAATTCTTAAAGTTGCCAAATTGGAGAGCCCTGATCTAAATGGCATAAAATTCATACTCTGGAACATACCTGCACTCCTCAATGATTCATTTCCAGCTGTTCTGTTTGCTTCTTCCTGGGCAAGTGCTGAGGTGCACAGTTCTTCTTCCATCCTCATGATTTTTTTGATTTCGCATGATGAAATGAAAGCTGCAATCTGCTATATTAAAAAGTATCATTTTATTACTCTTTTGTAACTCTGATTACAAAATACTGCGGCTAGTTTCTTTTTTATATAGTTATAATTTCAGCATTTTAAAGTAACACAGTGACTTGTTTGCCTTCTGAACTCAACTAGAGCCCAAACTCATTAGAATTTAATCCCGGGATTTGTTTGCAGAAGTGGGGAACCATTCCCCCCCCCCCATTTTTTTTAACAATCCCATAACAGTTCTGGACAGGATATTCAAACGTAAAGACAAAATGGTTACTTAAATTCCAATGTAGATAGATCTTTTTTTAAATTGCTTTTCTCAGGTTTTCATGTTACACCTAACTCCAATCAATGAATCACATAATTCCAGATGAAGCTTATAGCACAGTCAAAACCATGATGAGGTTATTCCATCATGGTTGTCATAGGCATATACTTCAAACTGGGAAGGCAGAAAAATACCCCAAAAATGCATTCTTATATCATGATGTAAATGCTTAAGTTCTGGGCATTATGTTGTGACATGACAATGCAACATGTTGTGACATCACAACAATCCATTGTGTCTTCTTGCCCTCTTGGGAGGTCTCCTCTGATAGTTGTCCCCATTCCATTCACTATCGAGGCCTCTTTGTATTCTTCCAACCTTTTTTGCTTAATGCAAATAGTGTACAACACAATCTAAATTGAAATTTATTTACTCATGAGCTCTGTTTTGGGGCTTTTCCTAAGGAATTTATTAAGTCTGGTTTTGCTGTATTCATATGTGATCAACTAGTTTGCGGTTTAGTAAGTCTTCCAAATGCAACTACAACTCAGCTACTGTGTCTTTTGATGAACTGGATGAATGGAAAGTTGAAAGTGCCCCCATTTCTCTATGCCTGCACAATTTAAGCACTACCAGTGGAATTAAGATTGTAAATTGTATATTGCTAGTAGGAAGATCCTGGGCAACCTTTTGCAATTCCAAACAAGCAGCCCCAAGAGATTTACAACATTCTTGGCAACTGCCTTATATGGTGGTAAAGCATAGTTGGCTTTGCAGTTTAGTTTATGCAAGGCTGATTTACATCAACCCTGCCTCTAGTGCACAAGAAATACCTATTACTATAAGTGTAGCTGGGTTAATCTACTTTCACACATGATAAAATCGCCATTATTGGGGCCCTGATTCTGCTTCTTCTATTAAAATCAATTATGTATATAAATTAGAAAGTTTTATGCAATAGATACCCCAGAATTGATGATAACATTGTTTATCTTGACATGTTACCTCTTGCAAAGGGTTGTTGGATGCTGAGTGCCCACAAGGCTATGTCTCACCCAGCCATTCTTTTTTTTTTTTTTTTTTAGAATAGAATTCTTTATTGGCCAAGTGTGATTGTACACTCAAGGAATTTGTCTTTGGTGCATATGCTCTCAGTGTACATAAAAAGACAAAATACATTCATCAAGAATCATAAGGTACAGTACTTAATGATAGTCATAGGGTACAAATAAGGAATCAGGAAACAATCAATATCAATATAAATCGTAAAGATTCACGCAAAAAGTTACAGTCCTGCAGTCATAAGTGGGAAAAGATGGGTGATAGGAATGATAGAAGACTAATAGTAATAGTAATGCAACCTTAGTGAATAGTTTGACAGTGTTGAGGGAATTATCTGTTTAGCAGAGTGATGGCGTTAGGGGAAAAAACTGTTCTTGTGTCTAGTTTGTCTTGGTGTGCAGTGCTCTATAGGGTCATTTTGAGGTTAGAAGTTGAAACAATTTATGTCCAGGATGCGAAGTGTCTGTAAATTTTTTCACGGCCCTCTTTTTGATTCATGCAGTATACAGGTCCTCAATGGCAGGTTGGCAGTAATTGTTTTTTCTGCAGTTCTAATTATCCTCTGAAATCTGTGTCTGTCTTGTTGGGTTGCAGAACCAAACCAGACAATTTTAGAGGTGACAGACTTGATGATTCTTCTGTAGAACTGTATCAGCAGCTCCATGGGCAGTTTGAGCTTCTTGGGTTGGCGCAGAAAGAACATTCTTTGTTCATATAGGTTTCTATTCCTTTATTTACTTTTGAAATTCTAATTCACACGCCAGTTTATGTTACAGTAAAATTATTGCCTTTTAAATCAGATTTCTTAATCCATCTATTCCTCTCTCTACCTGTATGGGGTTATGTCCAGCTAGATAAGCTATTCAAAAACCTAAGGGAAAGAAACATTGGTTCAGAAAGAGCAACTGTAGACACAAGGGGAAAAGCATTGGATGTTTAGCACATCAAACACATGCAATTTCTCTATCAAGGAATTGCAAAAGCTATTGCATAGCTAGACCCAAGTCAAAATTTATTTTATAGAGCATTTCTTTTAGGGTATGCAACAATCCATCAGTTATATATTAGGAAGACTTTCTTTTTATGCAGCTGAATCATTTATTTGAGAAAGAACTGTAACTCTTATTGGAATTAAACTTGCACTTTAATTTATGAGACCTTTTAGAATATGGCTGTAACTCAATCAAAAACATTTCAACTTGATTAACCTAACATTACGGTTAAGTAACTACATAGGTAGATGTTGCATTCAGATGCTTGGCGTCTGCATTAGATATGTCACACAGAAAGCAAAGATGGTCATCTCTACCATAAGGAGACTATCTTCAATCCTGGATAGGTGAGATATAAGGCTTCCACTATCAATGAAAAACAGTCATTGAGGCTTTTTGCAAATAATTTAGGAAAGTTATATAACATAAGCGGATATCTTTATACCAGTCAAAACTATTTTGTCCACCAAGCCAGTACTAGATTTTCAATTCTGACAGGCTGTGTTCTTAGGGGAAGTTCTTCTTTTTCTTCTGTTCTTTCTGAACAGAGATGCTAGAAATTCAGCCTAATATTCGAGAGGTCAGACTGTGGTAAGGCAAGGGTAAAGTAGGGGTACCCCATGAAAAGCTCTTATTTTGCTTTAACTGTATCCACTTTTTGGTGGTGATTTTTCCACTCCCATCCATTTTCTCACTTTGTCTTAAAATTACATTTAATTTTATTTACTTACCAGTAATCATAAAGAGTTGAGGAGGGATACACAGAAAATATTCTTGATGCATCTTGAAGATATACAACAATATTGACCTCCATATGGGAGCTCGGGCTTCAACTTCTCATATGATCAGATGATGATGGTAGTTATATGTTCACCCTATCTAGAAGTGCTGAAAGAAATGTCCTTCTGGGTTCAGCTCCAAGTGGGGAAAAAGAGACTGGAGACATGGAGACTGCTTGGAAAGATGGTTTATTGGTGGATAGGACCACATGGCTTGAGTCCTGAACAGAAAAGGTGATCTCATGCTTCAATGTTGGTGGAGAAGAAGTGAAGGGCTGAGGAAGGGGCTAGCTAGGCATTTTATAACCTGTTCAATCCCACCTCTCTGTTTCCTGTTCCTGCGTAAGAAATGTATTCTTATTGATTGTCAGACTCCCATAGGGCCATGCAGGGGCAATTCTCTAGGCTGCGTTTTGAATCCAGGTTTGGTTGAGTTCTCAGATGAGGTCAGTTGAGTAAAGAGCCAATATTATCATGGTTTAATCCCATCCCCCATGGGGCTGCAGTGGAGAAGCCTTTATTATGTAAAGGGACTAGCTTGGCCGTCTTAATGGCCCATTGACAAAGGGGGTGGCCAGGAAGCTACAG